GCGGGGGGGGAGCGGGTCCCTGCAGGGGGACGCCCGGCAGCCGGGGGGGGGGACCGGGAGCAGGGCAACAGCCCTGAGCAGGCAGAGCGTGTTTGCCCCGGTGTCCGTGGAAGGACATCCACAACACCTAGGTTTAATCAAGCCTTAGATTTTCTTCCTGCATAACCGCTCGTCTCACTCAGTTAATGGGTTTATCTGGGCAGGCAGAAGGCTCCAGGACAAAACGGCCCCTGCTTGGCCCCGTCCAGCCTTCGCTCAGTATGTCAGCCGGGGCTTGATAAGCGCAGAGACATTTCAGCCGAGGCATGGTCACGCTGGTCTCGTTTTACAAACCAGCTCTGCCCACCCCATCGTACCGGCCATCAAGGTGACAGGATCCCAGGGCAGGAAAGCTGAAGGTCCCAGCTCCCCCCAGGCAGCTTCCAGGGCTCTGCCCAGTGTCGGACAGGGGAGAGGGGCTGCCTGGGAGCGCCCTTCGGAGAGCGCGGGGGAAGCAGAAAAGAGGCCACACCGCTTGTCGTGCAGTTAGTTTAATTTATACAGTGACTGTCAGCAATGCATTTCGCCTGGGCAGCAGGACTGCTGTCCTTGCTCCACCTGCAAACAAGTTTTGACTTTGTCTTTCATTCTGCAAACACCATTGTAAACAGACAGCCAAGTCTACCTGTAGACAGCGATTACCCAAAAGCTGCCCCCACGCAGCACAAGGATCCCCGTGCTCCATGGACACACCCGTTGCAGCATGCAGTGCACACACACCTTTCCCACGTAATTTTAAACAGCCCTGCACCGTGTGGCATTTCCTCTTCAATTCCAGGTTACAATGATTCTCATCATCGTTCTAATCTGTTCATACCCAAATACTTCAGATCCACTGTGACAACTAAACACGACAGTTACACACAGCACTAACACCCCCCACGCTGCTCCAGCAGCTACACTGAGCTGAAGAGGGCAAGAAATTACTCACATCTTACACAGGAGAAAAAGCAACAGCTACCATGGGGAAATACCACCGAGACTCCACTGCCACGGGACTACTTTGGCAAGACTCAGCCTCTGTTCTCCCTTAAAGGGCTCCTCAGACCCTGAGCATACGTGACAACATACGTCACTGGGACCTCCACCTTTGCAAAAGCTGCCTCCAGCGATGCCAAGTCTACACGGGCATTATCTGGATGTGCCTCTAGGACTCTACAGCTTCAGGGCTTTGTTTTAAACAAGAAACCCAAGAAGTTCCACTGCCAGTGGTCAGTACCCGAGATGACAGTCTGCGCCGCAGCTCATCCCTCCTCCATCTCACCCCAGGCCACAGCAGGGCAGTCAAGCCCCTGTGCCTGAGCCCCCTGTTCTCACCACTGCCTCCAGAAACAAGAGGTGGAAGGGGCCTTTGCTGCTGGGCTTAGGCTTTGCCTGGGATACGAGCATGCAGGTGCACAGTTAAAGGAGCATCTCTTCTCCATGGAGGAAAGGAACAGCCTTTCCTGTGAGAACAAGGTGTTTCCCCATCACTAGAGCAAGCAGAGAGCCACCATACACTTAGCTGAGGCTGAGTCCTACCCCTTCATATTGGCTCCTCAAGCCCCAGCGAGTTCAAAGAGCTGAATCCCTGCACGGGATGAGGCATTGTTTTTGTCAGATTAAAACATGGCACATGTGGAAGCCCTGGAGGTAGGAGAAAGCACGCTCTGGATTGTCAACTGCCCACTGCTCATAATTTGTTTAATCAGAGGCAGAGACATAGGATCCACATGTAAAAGTTTCTTAAAAAACCCCTCTTCCCGAGCAGCAAGCTTTGCGCAAGCTGAAGTTGTTACGCCTTTTCTCCATGTGCTCGTATGCCCACTCAGCCATAGCTGCATTTCTCTCACACTGCCCTGATAAGCCTGCCAGGGAATTCACAACACGAGAAGTACACTATTACACACCAAACTCAGACACTTCATGCACTTAGTATCTTCAGTGGTAAACTTAAGGAATGAAAAGTTTCTTTGATCCAGTGTCACTCATTACCCGAGAATGTCAAAGCTCTTGGCTTTGAAACGCCATGGTAACACTTGAGGGTGCTGCAATAAGTTATTTTCACTATGGGAGGATTACATGCAACTCAGACACACGGGAAAGGGTTGGCCATAAACACACGGCGTTTAACACTGCTCGAGCGGAGGGATCTTTAATCGTCAAACCTCCCCTCACGGATGGTATCAAAGGAGAAAGGGAGAAACTTGAATCCAGTGCCAGTGTAGAACTTGTTCTGGAACTCAATCCTGCAAGAGGGAAGAAGTGTGTATTCATTAAAAAGGCAGCTCTCGGATACGAGTTAGCAATCAGCAAGAACTCCATTAAAAGTATGATTATTAACTATAAAAATATAAGGCTTTAAAAAGTGCTATGACAATGCAGCCTATCTATTGGCACAAACCCCACATTTTTGTTTGATGTTTCTGGAGTGGAGCGGAGAGGAATTGTCCAGGTACTTCGATCCCACCTCCACGGGCAATGAAAGGGCAACAAAAATAGGATGAACTCCCTAACTGTGATATCACTGAGAAGCACCTAGGACCACACAATATTACCTGTAAGATCTCATTAGTAAAGTTCACGTTTTAGTTAGAACAAACCTCAATCATGTGATGCTGTGCTGAGACTTCCTCCATCAGCTACTTCTGTTTATTTACTTAAGCATATTTGGTTTATCCCCACATGACTACTTCTGCTGAGCTAGAGATGTGCCTGTTGTCTCCAGCTGAACATTAACTTAGCCTTGTTTGCCTGCTTCCCCTAATAAACTCAGTTTAAAAAAAGAATTATTCTAGAGAACTGTCCCATGGTCAGCCACAGCCAAATAGGGAAAGAAAAAAAATAATCCCATGATTCACAGTAAAAACAAGCACAGTGTTTCATGAGCCTCATGAGAAACACTTTCCATTGCGTGGTCCACTAAAAAAACCAAAGTCCCTGTAGGAATCAAGTGACAGCAAATTGTAGAGCAATTTAACACAATTCAGGAGAAGTATTTTTATGAAGCACAAAAAAGCAGACTTTAATTTTTTCCGAATCAGGAATCGTGGTAAACTCCAAGCTGCTGGCATTTCAGCTGGCAAAAAGTGATTTCCCAAGAGAGCTCAGGAGGGAAATTTTCAGAAAAACAGCTTTCTGCTCGTATCTTCTGCTGCCTGTTCATGCAGTCAGGCAGACTTCCCTGCAGAGGAATCCCTAGGATGAGCAGGATTTTCCGCGTGGGAGGAAGGGCTACTTGCCAACACGCTCCAGTTTTTCAGGAACCCTGATAATCTCTGTTAAGTATCCTGTGACTAAGTAACTATTCTGTAAGCAAAGGGAAATAAGAGGCAGAGGATTGGGTATCTGAGTCACACAGAACCCACTGTAAATGAAATTTTAGCCCTGATGATTAACTGTTCCAGCTGGCCCTGACATCTGAAAGCTCCTTTTGGACACACTCAGTTACAACTGGCCACAACTGGATGCCTGAAGCTCGAGCAGAGGCTGTTGCAAGGTTAGGGAACTAGTGAAAAAGTTTACTTAGCCAAATATCATGGCTTAAATGTTCTGTGTGTTTTTTCTGCAATTGTCTACAGGAACATCTGTAATCCAAGGTCCTTTTTTGGTAGGAGACACTGCTGTTTCCAGGATCACTGGCTGTCATGTGTACCAGCTCTATTGCTAAACTTTGCGCTGTCTCTCCCTCATCAGTGATGAAGTTCTGCGAAAGAATTTACTAGATAGTTAGCACTGCACTGTAAATAAACAGACTAGGAAGCTTTCTGGCAGTCAGCATTAAAGAAAACCCACTCTTCAGCTTTTTTGTATTAATAATTAGCTTAAGTGTTTGTTGGACTGTAGTCAGTGTGGATTTTCCAACCCAACAGAGTCAGAGTACCCACACTGCCTGGAAAACTAGGCAGCTCACAGTCCCGTGGGAAGCAACTGCAGAGACAGTTGTTGAACAGGAACCCTAACTTTCATTTAGTTTAAGTGCAAATTCCTACTTGGTATTTGTGTTCTTAAAGGCGCGTGCCAATGCCTGGGGTCGGCTGTGATTCAGTGCACACCTCGAAGAGGGTAGCCTACAGCACACCTTACAGTCAGAACGCAATGGGATGTTTGCACAGAAA